AAGCCACTATAACTATCATATTCAATGCATACTCTACCGAGAATTTTCTAATTTTTCTAATATCTATAATGATATAACAGAACAATACTATAAAAGTTTTCTACATAGTTTGCCCATATTTTTTTTTTAATTGCTTTTATTTTTTATTATGTCCTTTTATACTATACCTTTCACTTGTTAAGATTTACGATTACCCCACATTTACCCCGGATTTACCCCACACAAATTTAAAGCATCTCACGAAGAAATCAAGATACACTTGTAATGGACACACTAAGAATACGCTTAGCACACGCTGCTTGTCTGACAAGTTTTGTCACTGAATTTACTTGAACTCCCTTAAAATTAATTAAGAATAATTTAATACTCAAATTTGAAGACATGGCTTTAACACCTAACATGCAACTGAAACACGTTAATGGAAACTCAAACTCAGCCACACACCACAGCGCAGCCCACTCCCGTCAGGCACAGCTTGGCGCGGGCGGTGGCGCGGGCGGTTAAGCGGCGGGCTGTACAAGGAGCAAAAGGAACTAAAGGAGCTAGTGTATATGATGATGAAGAGTATCTTTTGGTTTTAATTACAGGAAAAGATGGATTGGATGATACAAAGTGCAAAAAAAAATTAAAAGAATATTGTAAAAACTTAAAGAAAGTTGATAAAAACTTTAGTGTTTATCCAAAATTAAAAGGAATTTGCAAAGACGACGGTGCAACAAAATGTACAGGACTGAAAGCCAAGGTTGATATAAAGCAAACTGCTTTCAAAGCAAAACTTAATGAAGCATCATTAAAACAAATTTCGCAATTAAAAGATACAGACTGTTTAAATCAGAAAGAATGTTTATTTTTGGAGGAAGCGTACTCTAATGATCTTAAAGAAAACTGTAACACATTGAGGAATAAATGTTATCAAAAAAAACGTGAAGAAGTGGCAGAAAAAGCTCTTTTAAGAGCCCTTAATGAGAATCCTGAAAATGATAATAAGTGTAAAGAAAAACTTAAAAAAGTTTGTCTTGTGTTAGGTCAAGAAAGTGATGAATTAATGCAAAAGTGTTTAAATCTAGATTCTACATGCCCATCCTTAATACAAGCAGCAAAAGACAAGTGTAAATCTTTAAAGACAGAGGTAGAAAATGTGCTAAGTAATGATAAGGAGTTACAAAAACATGGAGGATCTTTACTTGAAGAATGTTATTTCCACTATGAAAACTGTAAAACAGAAAACCCGGATTGTAATGGCTTAAAAAAGAAGTGTAAAGATGCAGGGATAACTTATACACCACCAGGCTTGGATTTTAATCCTACAAAATCAGAGACTACATTGGCAGAGAAAATAGGCTTGGAAGAACTTTACAAAGAAGCGGCAAGACAAGGAGTTTTGATTGGAAGACCGCCAGAAAGAGATATTCTTGATTTATTAGTGTTTCTGTCAGAGAGTAGCCCTTTTGATGAAAATAAATGCAAGAATATACTCACTAATAAATGTAATTCTATTCAATATTTAGCAGAAAGTTTAAGAAAATTATGTGAAAATGCAAGCCATTATGAAGATAAATGTAAAAAGTTTAAAGAGGATTTTGAAAAAACAAAAGGTGTTCTAGAAAAAAAGTTTAAAAGCAACACATTTGAAAACAATGAAATTACATTATGGAGTGAGTTGCCGAATTTCCTTAGTGAAAATGACTGCATAAAATTACAGTCAGACTGTTTTTATTTTGAAGGTCAAACAGATTTTCAAAAAATATGTAAGAATGTTAAGGCAGCGTGCTATAAAAGAGGCCTTGATGCATTAGCAAATCAAGCACTACAAGACAAATTGAGAGGAAATTTTAATGATACAAATAATAAATGGTTTGAAATACTTCAAAAAAAGATGGTAGAAGTATGTGTAGATTTGAAAGGAGAGAGTGATGAGTTATTTGTGTTGTGTGTGCAACCAACGGAAGGAGCCATTGCAGTATCAACGGATTTGCGTATGAAGACAGACTTGTTACAAGGAGATCTGAACGAGAAGCGGGATTTTCCTACGAAGCAAGATTGCGAGGAATTACTGAAGAAGTGTCAAGATTTAGAACAAGATTCAGAAGAAATCAAATGGCCTTGTCGTACGTTGAAACACCATTGTAATAGGCTGGAGATTGCAGGACAATTGGAAGAGAGGTTGTTGGAAGAAAAAGTGAAGGATTTGGACAAGTTCGATTCATGTTTAAAAAATCTGAGAGAACAATGCCATGAATGGACTAGAAGAGGAAGAGCGCAGTTTGCTCTCGCATGCGTAGCACAGAATATTACATGCAAGATTCTTACAGAAAGTATAGATTCTAAGTGTACTACATTGAAGGCACGTATGAAAACAAGTGATGTTATAAAAACTGCAAAAGAAGAAAAAACAATGGAAGAAACATGTGATTCTTGGGAGCCTTATTGCAGAAAATTCATGTCAAGCTGCAAGGATTTAGAAAACACTGGAAAGGATGATGGATGTGAAAAACTTAAAGAAAACTGCAAGCCGTATCGTGCACAAAGGGATCGCGAAGATGCAGCTATGCTTAAATTTAAGGGGAATCTTGATAAGAAAAACAGTTGTATAACGGTTCTTGATCAATATTGTACACAATGGGCGAATGCAACCAACGGACTTGAAACTTTGTGCAAAAAAAAAGGTGAAGAGGACAAAAACGTTAGAAATAAACTCTGCAAAAAGCTGATTGAACGAATGAAAGAAAAATGCAAAGGACTATCAGAAAAACTTGAAAAGGTTAAAAACGAAATAGAAGGGAAAAATAAAGAATATGAAAAGATTAAAGGAAAAGCAGAAGAAGCAATGGAAAAAGCAAATCTTGTTTTATCAAAAGTGAAAGAATCCGATAATAAATCTGTGAATAAATCCGTACCTAGTGAACCTAAAGGAGAAGAAAACAAGGTAGGGTTTAAACTTGTAAGAAGAGATACAAAGTTGCAAGTAACAGAAAAAGAGTTACATGCATTTGATTTGGTATCACAAGCGTTCAGTTTATATGTAGAGTTGAAGGAGATATGCCATCACTCACTGAAAGATTGTGATTTCAAAAAAGAGTGTAAATGTGAGGATCCATGTGAAAAGATACAAGGAATATGTTCGAAATTAGAGCCACTGAAAGTCAAACCATATGAGGCAACAACTAAAAACATAACAACCACAACTACGACCACAACGACGACGACAACAACCGTTAAAGACGCAAAGGCAACAGAGTGCCAATCTCTGCAGACGACAGACACATGGGTCACAAAGACGTCTACGCATACCAGCACGTCTACAACTACGTCTACGGTCACATCGAGAATAACGTTGACCTCAACGAGGCGGTGTAAGCCTACGAAGTGCACCACCGGAGACGA